CAGATGGAGCACCCGGGGGACCGACTCGACGTGCAGGAGAGGGCTCGAGGGAGTGCTCGAAAGAGTGCCCGAGATGACCAGAGAGGACCAGAGAGGACCAGAGATGACCAGAGATGACCAGAGATGACCCGAGATGACCCGAGATGACCCGAGATTGCTCGACGTGCAGGAGGAGCTCGAGCTCTTCTCGCTCGCGCGCGTGCGCGGCGACGGCTCGATCGCCGCGCTGACGGAGGGCGCGGCGCCGGACGAGGTGGCGGACGTGGACGAGGACGAGGACGAGGAGGGGGGGGGGTTGCCTGCGGGCGGGGAGGCGGGGTCGGAGGAGGAGGAGGAGGAGGAGGGGGACGAGTACACCGCGCGGCTCGACGCGGAGCTCGAGTCGATGCACGCCGAGTACCGCGAGCGGACTCGCAGGCGGGCGGTGCACCTCATCGAGGAGCAGGCGCGCGGCAGACACTTCCGAGACACTTCCGAGACACTTCCGAGACACTTCCGAGACGCTTCCGAGACACGTCCGAGACACGCCCGAGACCCTTCCGAGACCAGATACACTCTCGCAGCCACCCGTCGCAGAGCTGGTCTTCCCTCGCCCCCCCTCCCCCGCCACCGCCACCGCCCGCCGATCGCACGTCCGCGCGCCGGCCGGCACCTCCGCCTCCCCTATCGCCGCCACCGCCCTCGGCACCCGTCCCCTCTGGCACCCGTTGTGTACATGTGTGTATATTGTCCCCCCCAGGCGGACGGGCCAAAGTCGAAGAAGCAGCAGCGCGAGGCGAGGCTCGACGCGATCCGGAACGCCGACGTCGACCCCGAAGAGCTCGCGCGGCAGGTCCCTCCTCTCGGCCTCTCTCCTCCTCCTCTCGGCTCCTCGGCTACTCTCGGCTCCTCTCGGCTCCTCCTCTCCTCTCGGCCACTCTCGTCGACCCCGAGGAGCCCGCGGCAGGTTGCTGCGCGCGAGGCTAAGGCCGCCGCAGACGCTTCCGACGACGACGACGACGACGACGACGCGGCCGGCGGTGGCGAGTCGAGTGAGGACGAGGCGGAGGGCGGCGGGCCGAACTCGCTTCTCGTGGGCGGGCCGAGCCGGTCGGAGCGGCGGACGGAGGCGGACGCGCGCACGTCGCGCTGGTTCCAGGACCCGCTCTTCGCGGGGGCGGGCGAGGCGGACGAGGACGACGACGCGGAGGAGATTGCCCGGATGGCGGCGGCGGCGCGCGCCAAACGCGCCGGCAAGGCGCCCGAGGCTACG